TTTATTTTTTATCACTCCTTAGCTTACACCTCCTGGCTGCCCAGGGCCCGTGGAGTCCATTGCAGAATCCTCAGCAGGGCGCCTCGGCCCCTGCATCCTGACAGCCCCACCAGGCCCCTGCCTTTCTGCTGGTCGCAGTTTGCGCTGTCTCCCACCTGGAACAGTGTTTCTTCTTATCCCTACCGGAGAGATGTGGCCTGCCCTTCATATCCATGCCAAGATAAACCTTCCCCTGGAAGCTTCCTGGGGTTTTTACGGTATGGAGTTGCCACAGTGTCTTCAGGGAGTTGGGAGTTCTGGGTGACTTCTGGTAAACCTCTCCCCTCACAGTCTCCCAGTTACCTCACGTACCATGGGAACTGTAAGCTAGATATGGGGGCACACGCCAGTGAGTAACCTCAGCTATTCATAACGAACCCAGCTCTCCAGGAGGCTGAGGAAGGAAGATAGTTCAATCCAGCCTAGGCAATTTAGTGACTTAGTGAGATGCTGTCTCAAAATAAAAAATTAGTTCAGTACAAAAGCCCTGGGTTGAATCCCAGGTACTGGAAAAATAAAATAAAACAAAATATTTTTTAAAATGAGAGGGCTGGGGAGATAGCTCAGTAGAATAAACGCTTGCCTGGCAAGCGCAAGGGCCTGAGTTCAATCCCTGTTCTGCCAAAAAAAAAAAAGAAAGAAAAAGAAAGAACAGTAGTAACATGCCCACTAGTGGTGACAGAGCAAATTAGTTCCCTTTTGGAAGTCACTGGCAACGAGTGCTTCAGCAGCCTCACACCACCAGCAAGACCATCTGACTCTGTATTTCCTTTTGGTACTTAGAAAGCTCTGCTGTGCAGTCAGGCGCTGCGCTAGGGATTTATCACAAATAAGACAGACAAAAATACCTGCCCGAGGGTGCATATGTTCCATGGGGAACAGAAAATACATACACACATGAAATACACTGAACGGTATTGAGCACTCTGGAGAAAAATAAAATGGGGGAGGTGATTCTGTCTGGAGAAAAATAAAATGGGGGAGGTGATTCTGTCATGCTAGAATGCCAGAGGTAGAGGACACTGTTATTTTACAAAAATTCAATCAGTGAGGTTTTACTGGCCGATGACGTTTGAATAGAGATTACAGAAAGCAAGGGGACATGCAGGTATTTGACTGACAAAGTCATCGAGGCAGGGGGGGAATGAGTTAAATATCCTGGGGCAGGCAGGCAAGCACTGGGTGAGGTCTAAGCACAACTGGGCAGTCAGGCACTAGGGCTGGAGTGGCGACAGATGAGGTGGGGGGGGTGCCTGGCTTTGCCTGTCATTGTGAGCAGTTTCGTTCTTATGTTGGAAGGATTTGGAAGAGTTTTGAGCAGCAGGCTTAACTGTAACAGGTTCACTGTGTGGAGAATAAACCCTGCAGAGTGGGGTAGGAGGCCAGTCAGGACACTCACAGCTTGGTCCATCTTGGTCCAGTAAAGTGACAGGGGTGCAAATGGACTGGATTCCACATGTATCATAAAGATTTAAATAAATCACTGGATCCAGGAGTAGTGGCGAGAACCTGTAGGTCCCAGCTACTCAGGGGGCCGAGACAAGAAGCTCACTTGAGGTCCGGCATGGTGGTGCATGCCTGTAATCCCAGCACTCTGGAGACAGAGGCAGGAGGATCACTGTAAATTCGAGGCCAGCTTGGGCTACAAAGTGAGTTCAAGGCTAACCTGAACAGCACAGTGAGACCAAAGAAAAAAGAAGAAGAAGCTCACTTGAGCCCAAGAGTTTAAGGTCAGCCTGGACAGCACAAGGAGGCAGTATCTCAGTAATGGTAATCCCAATAACAATCTCAATAATAGTATCTCAATATCTCAATAATAATAATAATAATAATAATAATAATCCTTAGTAGAGTGCTTGCTTAGAATGTACAAATCCCTGGCTTAATCTCTTGCACAGGAAAAAATTAATAAATCTTTGAATAAATTTAAATACAATTTTAATCCAGATAGGATTTGCTAAGGATTGAATGGGAGGTACCAGAAGGTAAGAAGTGTTAGAGGCGACTCCAGGGTTTGGGACTGGGCTACTGGAAAGGAGGGACAGGGTTATCCACTGCGGTGTTCTGCTGTGCAGAGCAGCCCGGTGGAGTCAGGATGCCACTTGGGGACCTAGCTCCAAGGCCATTCGACCTTCAAGGGGACTTAGGGCTGGGGCAAAGGAGCAGGCTGTAGCTGTGAACTTCACAGTCAGCGCTGCACGCATAGTGTGTAAAGCCACCGGCTGGAGGGAGCCTGGACACAAACCAAAAAGAGAATTGGTCCCTGCGGGTTCGTGCAGAGGCCTGGGCAAAGCGGAAGGATCAGCCAAACAGACCGAGAAGGCTGAGTCAGTCACCTGTGACAAATGAGGTCAAGTCAGTTGCGGACTGAGAAGTGGTCACTGGATGAGCCATTTGCAGGAGACTGGAGGACCTGGGGCAATCCTCTCAGTGTGTCGCAGCTCAGAGGAGTCTATAAAGGGGGGCGTTTGCATTTGCGGTTTTACTACTGAGTACGGATTGCATAAAGTAGTGAAAAAATATGTTCAAATAATCCTCTACTGCCTGCGGAGCCCGAATAGCGCGCGGCGGGGGGTATCACGTGAACCACCACGTGCGCAGACGCAGCAGCTGGAGGTTCCCCGGAGAGGCCAGCTCGCGTCCGCATCTGCGCACTTATCTCCCCCCGCCCACCCCCTCGCCCCGTCCCTTCCTCTAGAGCAGAACACCTTGCCCTCGGTCCCGGTGTCTCGCACACTCTTCGGTAGCGAGATCGCGGTGCTCCAGACCTGCAGGCTGCAGGAGCCCCACCCCGGCGCGCAAGCGCTCGCCGGCCGTGCCTCTGGCGCCCCCTGGTGTCGGGTGCCGGAAGTGAACATTCTCGCTCAGAGGAATCCGCTACTGCGGCAAACCTCTCACCTACGCGGCCAGTGCCTTGGGCTTCTCTGAAATTGCCGCCCCACGCAGGAACCCCTTCCTCTAGGGCCACCCGTTTTTCTTGGCATTTCTTCTCCCAGAGAGCTCAGGCCAGGGAAATCGAGGATTCCAGCCAGACTTGAGGCGAGGCCTTTCTTTATGCTGGCTGGCCTCCTTTTCTCCCTAATTTATGATTTGCAGTGCTGGGGAAACCTAGGGCAACAGCTCTACCGCCGCGCCACACCCCGGCCTTCTCACTTTGGCGAAGGGAGGCCCCTCAACTCCTCTGCCCAGAGAAAGTAAACTAACATTTTATCATGCATAGATTTTAGAGAGAAGTGTGGGGGCCAGGGAGATGGCTGAGGCTGGGAAGATGGCTCAGTAGAATAAGCGCTTGCAAGCACAAGGACCTGAGTTCAATTCCCGATTCCGGCCCCCCCCCCCAAAAAAGAGAGGTGATGGGCTCTGTAGCCAGATGCGTGGAATCTCTGCCACTCACTGTGGCCTTAGCCGTCCAACTCCAGGGTACAGGGGACAAGAGCTACATTTCAGGACAGTCTAAGGTCCAGTGCGACAGTGTGGAACCAGGGTAGGGGAGAGGTCTGTCGACAAAGCTCCCTGTTTGGGGCCCTTTTTATGGGCTCATCCCCCGGATCATAAGCCTGTCCCCCGAGACTTGGTCCCACAGTCATTTTGTTCCCACTGCTCCCACTGGGGTGGAGGCTCCCTGAGGGTGCTGAATGTATTGTCTTGCTCACTTCCTTGTCCCCCAGCTGACCACAATCTGGCACAAAGTGACAGTAACTGCTTGTGCACAAGATCAGCCCTATCCAGCTTTCCTTCCTTCACTTTCGCCCTTGCCCCAAACTGCTGAGATGGCCAGGCCCCACCCTGTGACTGATCAGTGTTGGAGGAGGGTGGTCAGGCAGGAGCCCTTTTACTTCTAGGGTGGGGTGGGGTGCCCACTTCTTGGGAGGGCAGCCAGAGGGATGTCGTGCCTCGTGCTCTTAGGGCTCAGTCTCACCCTGGGCCCTGAGAGCAGGGAGAGGCTGCAGCAATGAGCGTGAGCCGGCAGCGACCCTGGCGCATTTGTGGGCTGTCTGCCCTCAGAACACGGTGACGCCCACCAACAAAGACACCACAGCAGCCAAAGATAGAAATAACTAGTGTATTGATTTGGGGGGAAGAAGGGACGCAAGATGGGAAACAGGGTGGCAAGGGGTACCTTAGTGTTTGTCAATAACTACTGCCACACTCCCTCCACCCCCTCACCTTCCTCCTTTGTTTGGCTCTTATCCTTTCCAGGGTCTCACTCTCCCTCCACCCCACTTAACCTTGACCTCCAAGGACTATGGATAGAGTCCAGCCAGGCTCTGAAGCTGGGATAAGGTAGGCTCGAAGGCCATTCCTCCTGCCTTCTTCCACCTTGCACCTCATTCCCATCTCTTGTCTAAGGGAAATACACATTTTTTTTGGGGGGGTACTGGGACTTGAACTCAGGACCTTACACTTGCCAGGCAGGTGCTTGTGCCACTGAGCTATATTCCCCAGCCCAGGGAAATACACAAAAGCAAGCACAGCAGGTACATGGGAAAAGGGCCTCACCCTGGGGCTAGGGACAGGGGAGGGGACTGGAGGCGGGGTAGGCAGAGGAGCCTCAGCCCACTTAATGGAACCGGGGAGACCTCGCTTGGCTCTCCCCTCTCGCTCTCAGGCTAGCCTGGCAGCTGAAGATTCCACGCCTGCCTCTCTGGCACCATCTCATGGGGTCCCCAGGGTGGGGAAAGAGCCAGGGCAGCAAAGAAAAAAAAGAAACTAAGTCTATGAAACCATCCCTTCCCCTTAGCTTCTGGAGGAAGCCCTCTTTGGTATTTAAGGCAGATGTAGAGTTTCCTGGAAGCTGGGAATGGAAGGAAGGGGGAGAAATTAGGCTTGTTATAGACTTTTTTTTTTTTTTTTTTTTTTT